TACAGTTAGAATTTTCTTTAAAATAAGCAAAAAAAAAAAAAAGGGTAAAAATTAGAGAATTATTTTTATGGAAAGTGGTGGCTTTATGGTCTTTGATGATTAGGATTTAGCACTGGGTCAATGATTAGGTAAAATGTTGTTATGGGCATTAGGGTGAGTTTAGGATTATAGTTAGGATTTCTTTAAAATGAGGAAAAAAATTAAAGATTAGAACAGAGAATAATTTTTATGGAGCATGGTAGCCGTATCACCTTGTTACAGTTAGAATTCAGTGCTGAATCAGAGGTGGCTGAAAATATTTTTATGACCATTAGGATTAGGGTTAGGGCTAGTTTTCCCTGAGTCTGAGATAAAATTAGGGGGAGGATTAAATCGGGGGTTGACTTTTCATAGAAAGTGTTTGTATCTCATGTTTGTATTTCAGTTTGCAATGTGTGCTGGATCAACCTTCATGGAAAATCTTTTTAGGATAAAGTTAGGAATTTGGTTAGGTTTCCTTGGATTCTGTCCTAAAACCTAGGGTGAGAGTTAGAACAGGGGTAGGGTTTTCTGTTTCATTTTCTGTTTGTAATGTGTGCTGGTCAGTGGCCACAGAAAAAATTGTTTTGGATAATAGAGTGAGGTTAGGGTTAGGATTCTTCAAAGTTTGAGCTAAAAATTAGGGTGTGACCTGTTTCAGACTGAGGATGCCCATGGTGGCTTGATTTTCAAATGGTTTACTGGAGAGTAGTAAGCAGTCACACACAAAGGTAGGCAGAGATGGCATGCATAAGCCCCCCAAATACCCAGGAGCATCAGGCAGTTAGAAAGTTCAGTCCAGAGTCAAAACAGAGCACAGGTTCAGAGATGCAAACATAGTCTCACAGCTGTCCAGAAGTTCAATCACCAAAGAGGTTAGTCAGTTAACCTGCATCAAAGAGTCAAGACTTAAAAGGCAAAGCAGGAAGCAAGGATAGAGGAATGCAGATCTAAGGTTGGTATGGCTGTTCTCAACAAGAAGGCCAGCCACTGACGCCTGCTCTTAAATAGCCCAAATGCAGGTGTGACTTATTTACCAGCATTCGCACCTTTGCTTCTTGAGGAGCCAAGCAGATGCACCCCTTGGATGGCGTACTCTGCCAGGACTGGGCCTCCCATCACTTGATTCCTCCCACACCTGCTCTTGCCACAGGCACCTGAGGCCGACAACCAGCTGGATCAGGACCCTCAGCCTCTGACCCCTCCAGTTCAGAGGAGGCCATAAACCAGGTGAAAGTAAGTATGAGAATGTATATAAGGAGAGAAGAAGCCTTACATTCATGTTACAGTAAGGGCTGAGTGTTGGGGCAACACTTAGGGAAAATGTCTTTATAGGCATTATGCTGAGGTTAGGCCTATGATTAGGATTATGGTGAAGGATTAATTTGTATGGACAGTGAAATATGTTCATATTTCACTTAGCAATGCGTGCTGGTGTAATGGAATGTGAGAATGACCTTGGAAGATGGGGGGAAGAGACGCTGCCTAGGGAACTATCAGATAAAAGGGGGAGGAGCCCACATCTGAGTAACAGGCAGAGAAAGAATCTTAGAAAGGACCCACCCGAACTGATCAGGTGGCAAATAGGGATGGTGGGAGATTTGTACTTTCAGATTTGCAAGATGCTGTTAATGTAGCCTATCAATAGAGTAGAAGTAGCTTATCCGGTCATGATTCCTTTCTGATTTACCTGGGAAAGCTGACAGCTGGATAAACAGTCATGGAAAATCTTTTCATGGGTGTGAGGGTAAAGGTAGTGTTAGGAGGAGGAGGAGGAAAAGCTGGGGAGAAGTCTAAATGCATGATAGATATTCCCTAAGAATTTTAGGCAAGCTCAGTTGTTATAGCTACTTCTCACATTTCCCATGGCTAGTGATTTGTGGAACTAAGATTTTTCTGTAATGTGTTTTCTGCCCATTTTCTCTGTCCAAATTACAGCTCCCAGAATACCCCAGGGGAAAATGCTTGAGCCAGTATGTTTGCAATATACCCTGAAGGAGAAGGAAAGTCATCTGTATTTTTAATAAGCAAGCTGTTCAAGGATGAGAATTTAAGGTTGACTATGCAATGGTTGGACAGGAGGGAATTCACATAGAAATGGATGCTGGAAAAAAATGCATTAAAATTTTTTAAAAAGCATTTAATTCACACTTTCCAGGCTAATGCACAAATCAGAATGCAGTTTTTTTTCAAATTATGCATTTTTCCAAATAATGTGGTGTAATTTGGGGCTAATTTTTTTAAAAAATTATGTTTTATGTATTTATATGTATTTATGGTTTTAATGTTTTGTGTGAACTGCCCAAAGTCCCCCACTGGGGGGAGATGGGCGGGGGAGAAATTTAATAAATAAATAAATAAATAAATAAATAAATACTATACTGCAGGAAAATGTGCCCTAGGTACTTATTATTAGGTACATATAAAATTTATCCCAAATGGCTTGTGCATCTTTATTTATTCTTTTATTTATATTTTACATGTATATCCCACTGAAGTTAGTGATTTGCACAAATTTACCAGGATGCAAGAAGAGAGGAGTAGGATAAGAATGTTCTTGCCTTTCGTTCAAAGTACACTTGCATAACCTTTTCAAGCTTAGGGCTGCCTGTGGGCTACGAGTGATATGTCAGGGACTGGACACAAAAAATGACTGTTGCCAGAATAAAGAAGTGCGTGGAATCAGGACAAAAATATGTCTCACTTTACAACTACTCCTTGTTTAGCAACTACCTCGGTTAGTGACCATCTGCAAATACGATGGTAATAAAAAATACATTTTGTGACCAATGCATGCACTTATGACCAAATTTGTGTGCTTGACAACAAAGCACACCGTAGTGAGAGCAACACTGATATAGCTGTACAGGAGAACTTTATCTGAATGAGACAGCAACAACCAGCAATCTTCACAGCGACTCTCTCTTCCTTTCAGTCACAGGTTCACTTAGTGACCATTTTGCTTATTGACCTGGTTGTTGGAACAAAACTTGGTCGCTAAATGAGGAGTGAGTGGAATCCTCGTTCAATGCAATGAATAGAATTTTTCATGCATGATGTAATATTCCCTTTCTGTCATATTAAACATGAACAATTTGACAGCAACATTCTGTGGGCTTCAGACAAAGCTTTGGGAACTTCACGCTGCACACTTTGCTTTAGACCTTCCTTGTCCCTCTTCCCAGTTACTTAATGGAAAAGAATAAGCATTACCTGATTCAAGACCAGAACAGATGTGATGGTGTATTTCAAGATGTCCTAGTGGAAAAATAATTCATAGTCATTTTCCTTCCAAGTGTTTATATACACACATTGCATTTTCTTTTGGAAAATCCAGAATAGAATAGAATAGAATAGAATAGAATAGAATAGAATAGAATAGAATAGAATAGAATAGAATAGAATAGAATAGAATAGAATAGAATAGAATAGAATAGAATAGAATAGAATAGAATAGAATAGAATATTTTCAAAGACTAAGGATCCAAAAAGAAAAAAACTATTTTTTAATATTGGCCAAGGTACTGTATTGTTCAGATGTGCTTTTTATTCTACCAGCAGAATGCCCTTTTTAGTGACAGTTTTTGTGACACAGAATTCATCACCTATCTAGCTTCCTCCTTCCCTCAGCACTTGCCCTAACCAAGAAAAGCCATTTTCCTTTGAACTCTACAATGTTACTGGCATTATTAGACTATCAGGAACCTTGGCTGCACTTCTGCAGCTCAGCTGTGCCCAAGATATTCATTTACACTTTTTCCAAACCTATTCCTCACCACCAATTCTCACAGGTCACCTCTCACTATGAAATAAATGCTGGGGAGGGAAATGCTGTCAACTTCTTTTTATAGAGTGGGATGAAGGGTTTGCTATGACTTCACAACTGAGGAAGCAGAGAAACAGCAGGGAACTGGGTACAAAGCCCAAACTATATACCTACCGGCCAGCTTGAAGGCAGCAAAGCCCACCATCAGTGAGTTATTTATGTTCTTTGCAAGCTATAATATCGACATCACCAAATTGATTGTGCTATGATTCTCAGCACAGATCAATAAAAGCTTACATGGATGAGGCTTAGGAAGTCCATGAGCTGATGGTCTCTCACCACGTTTTAGCTGTTATGGCTCCTCCCCCTGCCACACACACAAACACGCACACATACACACAAACACCCTTTGATTCCCCATAGGAACTAGAAACAATTTAAACTCAGAGTCATCCTGACCCTGTTTTATTTTGGAGCAGAATGCTTTGTTAATGACAATCCACAAGCATTTAAATATTATCATACATACCACATTTAGCACATTGGACATCCTCACATTGATATTCACTAGAAGGGGGCCGTTTCCATTTCTGTAAGTCGGGCACAGGGCATTTGCATCTAGCAGTGATTCAAATAGTTTTTCTTCCAAAGAGGCGGAGGAATTTTGCCAAGTTATCCGAAGCGAGGCTGCTAGAAGCAAAACACAAAGTGCCCATTTCAGACCAAAGTTTTCTCACGATCTGCTGTAGCTCAGACAAACACCAACATGTTCGCAGTTTAGTCCTCATTCAACTCCCAGCTCTAAACCAGCAAAACTGTTTTCTTGTGCTAGAGGTGGGAGGCAGGGGGTACCCATATTGCCATCCCTTGCTTAAATACCAGCTGCAAGTCAGATTAATGTGGATATACCATTCAGGGATCTTGGTGGCCATCAAGAGAGCTGGCCTAGCAGTCAGTCCTTTGGGCCATCCCCAGAGGGCCTATAAGTCCCGAGAGGCCACTCCTGAGTCCTGCCGCCCCATCTCATCAAATGTTCCTGCATGTTCAGCGGTTGTAGCTATTGACCTGCCTCCTTAGGTAAAACGAGGCGGACGCCTCAGGCAGCAGCAGCTGGGAGACAAACAGCAGAAAGGAGGGGCTGGAAGATACGGCTTCTTCATCCCAAACAGCTGGCTCTGTATCCTTTCGCTGCACCAGCTGTCCCTCAGGTACACACAAGGGGATGCTAATCTTTGAAACAAAACACAACACCCACTGCTCAGCTGCCGTATTGCAAATGGACCGGGGAAGAAGGCTCCAGATGAGCTGGCCCTTCATTCCTCCCGTAGTAAATGAGGCAATCACTTCAACTGGCATGGTGAAACAGCAGCAGAAGAGTTCTTCCTCCTGAGCTCTTTTGCAGGGCCTTGGCTTAAAAGCCCAAATGTGTGCATGTCTCTCTCTCTCTCTTTCTCTCTCTCTCTCTCTCTCACACACATACACTCATGTGCTTTAGAAACTGGCCTGCTGTCCCCAGGCATGGTGGAGGAT